CTCAGCTCAGAGAGTAATTACATTTTGTTTTATTGATGATGCTGTGGCACAAGGCAGTCTGCACAGCTCAATCAAGTCAGTTTGTGGTTTGGAAAAAGAGCACAAATGTATGTTTGCCGAGTGGATTAGGGTAGTGTGTAAAAGAAAAATCATTTACAGGCCATGGAGTGTTTGTTCTGAGGTGTGTCTCTGGATCCCAGAATAAAAACTGCTGTAGCATTAATCCTTTACAGCAAAGTAGGTGGTTTATTATTACTATTATTATTATTATTACTAATTTTGTAAAGGCCGTAGAAATATTTTTCATGTCATTCTACTTATGCTGAAGGAAATGAGCACTTGTCCAACTTGTCAATGCAGGTGTGGTGGTTTGTGTCGGGGGGGGGCAGGATGCCATAGGAAGGTTGGGTTTCTGTGTGCTTCTCCTGACCAATGCTGACAAAGGCACAGCACAGTGCAAACAGAGGACAGTTGTTTTTCATTAGTTTTCCTCATGTCAGTTCTGAGTGGGTGACATTTACAAATGAGCATGTTGTTCTGCAGGGAAGATAGAATTTATGTTTTTGCAGACAAGATGTGATAAGACTTTAATTCAAGCACTGTGTGAGGAAGAGTGGTTCCTAAATAGGGGTCTAAAGCCAGACTGTGGAACAGACACCCAAACATGAAGCATCTGACATGCTGATGTGGATACAGGTCCTGGTTTCCACCACTTCCTTTAGGAGGCCGTAAAATTTTACAGAGAGTTTCTTGAAGGTTTTAGTGGCAGCTGCAATAACAAGGTTTGACCCAAAAGTCAAAGAGAGAGCACTGATGTGAACTGACCTGAAATTCAGCCAGGATACCACCTCCATCCTGTGTTTGGACCATGAGCCTCAGTACCAGCTGAGTGGGGACCTCCCATTCCCAATGGCTAACCCTTACCATGTCTCTCCTTCCAGCTTCACATGGTTATGTGGCCAGGTTCACCGCAACCTTCTCTCCAAGTTCACTGGTCAAGTTGTGGAGCTGTTTGACGAGGAGTTCCGCCACCTCTATGCACTGTCGAAGCCAGTGAGGGGACCGAAGTCTCCACCACGCACCATGCCCTTCCTCTTCAGCCAGAGCTGGGCCCTGCCACGCAGCCTCCCTGACAGCAACGAGGGAAGTGCTAACACTCTTTCAGACCCCTTGAGCAGCCTCTCAACCGGAAGCAACCATCAGACCAAGCAAACCCCAAGAACTCTCATATTCAGCAGCAATTTCACCCCCCAGTCACCTCTGCATCGAGTTAATTCCTTCCACAGCTTTGTCTCATTCACACCCCCCCCAGCACAGCAGACCATCCAGGCTAACTTCTACCAGCCACACTACGTGGCCGATAGCTCCACAGCTCTTTATAACAACATGAACATTTACCGACCTGTAAGAGTTAGACAAGAGGAACCAAACAGGACAGGCTTAAACTCACCCTGGAGATGCCTCCATAAAGGTAACCTGTTTGCATAACCGTCACCTTGGTTTGAGTTGCAAGTAAACCTAGTGAGGACATGTTTAGCAATTGCTTGTACACTGACGAATACAGAAATTCTGCATAATACAAAATAAGGATGATTTCAGGTCTCTTGTTTTGTTTTGGTGCTTATGGATGCTTCGTTTCCCTAATTAAAAAGCCACCTGCTATCATGTAAACGCTGGCTGCATTACAATCCCAGTAAGAACAAACCTAACAATGCTGCTCACAGTGCAACATTGCTGCTGCCAAGCACCTGCCTGTGGTACCATTTTTGTGTATCAATAGATTGAGGTGGTTTTCGTGTGGCCAGGCACCTGAAAGCAGGCTAAGTCAGTTTCTTACTCTGCACTTGAAGCAGTTGCGTAAGGAGCTAATTCAGGAGGGCGAAGGCTGCTATTTACGTGCCAGACTGACATGCTGCTAGTAGTCTACCTTCACTCCATCATCACAGCTCAGTCTCGATGTAGAAGGATTCCTTTGGGGCTGATAGGGAAGCACAGTTCCCACCTTCGTGCTGCCCATGATGCAGTCTGCTTGAGGTGTGCAACAAGGATGCCTGTTTGCAGGGTTTGTCTGAACAGGCCTGCAGACTGTGAACTGGACGGAGACCAACAGCTCAGGGCACAGAGGACATCCTGCAGTCGCCGTACGCTCGGTTTCACTCATTAGCAACATGGGTGCATTCCAGCACGCTTTGTTCAAAACCTCCAGTCCCACCAGCTCAGAGCAATTTTCCTCACTGCAGAGCAGCTGTGTAGATTCAGACTGGAAAATGAAGCCAAGGAAGGAAGCAAAGTCCTGCTAGCAACACATCTTTCCAGTACTGAGTTCCAGTTCATGTAAAAGTACATGGATCTTGGAAATGCTCTTAGTGGTTGTTTGACAGAACACTGAGTTGAAGATAAAGGTGATGTAAAGGAGTGCCTTGAAAAAAAGGGCGTAACAGGGGTTCAGCAGCTTGAACCAAAATGCCTGCAAACCTGAGAAACGTTTGGTCAGATAACCCATGAGAATGAAGGAAGCTTCTGTAAGCACAAAGCAACAAATAGTGAGATAATTCATGAAATATAAAGGATATAAGGGATGTCCATCCATGTCCCAAAGTCACTCGATACACACAATTTTCTGATGTATCGACACTTCATTGTTTTTTTAATCTGCTTTCCTCTATCTTTCATCTGACTCCAACAAAAGCCAGCAACCCAAACACATTTGCTCATCTGATGCACCTCGCTGTTTTGTCCCTTGTTCAGTAAGGTTAAGGAATTAAATTGCATTCTTTTTCTGTGGATGATGAACATTGCACGTAGCAGCTAAATTTTACGTGAGGAGTTTCTCACCCTTGGAAGAGCTACAGCTTTAAAAATATACCAGTAGCGTTTACAGAACATTGTAAAGGGTAAAAGACAATGCATGCTGCACGAGCATGTGAACATTTTTACTTGTGGAATCAGATTTTGGAGACCAAAATAACACTAAACCCTTGCATATCATTGTAAATGTCTGTACATAACAACATTTTTTGATTCCTTGGGAAGAAGGGAAGTTTTCATTCCTATGAGAATTCTATTGAAGTGTCTAAATACGACAAGGAAACAGGGTAAATAAAAGAGAAGACTTTCATTAAAATGTCTTTGAGAATCATTTTGTTGCTTCATCTTCTCTTCACTTGTGCACCTTACTATCTTTGCTTCCTGAATCATTTCAATAAAGCCAGAGCACAGCTGATAAGGAATTGCATTTTGTTCGTTCTGAAACTGCCAGGAGCAGGATGAAACGTGTGTCCCCACTGCCTAACTGTGATTTTTCTTCTGAATTTGGTTCGGTCCCTCGATCCTGTTGCGGCTCAGCTGTGGGTGGCATGGAGGGGGGGTGTGGGCTCACTGCTCTCTCATTCTGAAGCCTTCATTCTCTCCAGCCATGACCCATGAAATCCAAACAGGAGCCCTTCTCATCACTGGGCCCACACGATGTCCCAGAGAAGCACAGCAAATGAGAAGTAGGTGAGGGGCATGCTAATTGCACTGATGGAGTGCTGTGAGTTAAGAACCAATTTCAGCTCTGGATCAGGGATGCAGCTTGCGTTAATTCAGACGACAGCTGAACCCGAATGTCACATGAACGGAATTTCACTTTTGATGGAAAACAATCAAGAGTTTACCATTTCAGTAAGGAGTTATGCCAGAAATGCTCGCAGGCTCCCACAGGCTTGATTGCTCAGCGATGAAGGGAATGTGTGCTTACAGGCAGCTGCAGAAAGTACCTGTTGGGAAGGTTGGAGCTGGATGCTGACATCCCTCACCAGCCAACTGCAAGGGAAGGGCTGGTACAAACACTGCGACCGCATGCTGAGAGCGCGGTGTGAACCTCGCTAGTTCCAGCAGTAACACCTTCCTTCACCTCAGAAGCAGGGAGCAGGATTCAAATGCTCAACAGCACAACATTTCACGAGCCTGTGCTTGCACACACTGATCCTTCCAGGAGCATCAGAACTGGGATTAGAGGGTCCTGCCCCAGGGCCTGGATCATGAGAAAGCATCAAAATGACAAAGCTGGTAACAGTTAACAGATTCTTGCAGTTGGCAATGCTAAATTTGTTATGTAACTCAGTGGGGAGTACCAGTGCAAGTATTAATACCAATAAAATTAATACTGTAAGAGTCAAAACACGAAGAAAGCTGTTGCAGGCAAATGTAGAATTATGCGGAGCACAGAAGTGATGCTGAAGCATTCAGACACAAGGTGGAAGTGTAAAGCCCCTCTGAGATCAGCAGCAGAAAGCTGGGGTTGAGGTGGCATGCTGAAAGTGAGGAGTGAGCCAGAAAAGGAGGAGTGCAAGTAGCCGAGGTGAGAGATAGCCAGCACAATGAGACCAAGGAATGTTCCATAGCCCAGTGCAATAAACACTGCTGACTTGGAGCAGTAACTACGCAACGCATTCAGAGCAACATTATGTTGTTTTCTTTGCAGTAGTTAAAAGCAACATTTTTGCTTTATTGCTGTATTTGAGAAAACAGTGCTTGTTCTTAAGGAGTGCTGCTTGCATCCACCCTGCCAGGTGCTGGGGAATTCACTGCTGTGCTGCCAGTGTGAGACAACCACATGTTCACCAACCACACACACCAAAGTCCCCAAATGGCACAGGCCATGGCACTGTGTGTTTTGGACAGCTCAAGTCATGAAACAACAGCATTTGGCAAGCATTTCACATGCTGCTATTTCCACCTTCTAAACAGTGGAGCCAAATCATCTGGTGAATTCCTGTGAAATATCTCTACAAACCTGGATCCACAAAAGCTTGTTCCAACATCGTAACTACAGAACTTAATTAAGAGCTGTGGAAAGCAGATTATGTCCCTTGGGGCTGCTCATGACCATAAGTTTAAAAAGAAACTGGGAGAAGTTCCTGTTCCAGTAACTCAACTACTTTTGCTGATATGTTTGGCATTTTGTTTGCTGTGCCTTTGTTCTAAGACATTCTATTGTTGATGGCAATGTTGTAATTACTTCACAGTCCATTAAGGACAGTCACTACTGAAAACACGAGGGCAGGTTGCTTGATGAAAGCACTTAGCCCTGTGTGCATCCCAGGTGGGCTTCACTGCCATCTCAGCACTGCTCAACTCATGCACATACACAACAATTTCCACCTAGCAAACACACGCATGACTACAATGAATATTCTGTAATATGTTATGAATTAATGCTTACCCACATATACTTGCCAAGGCATCAGCTTTCGTAACAAGCTGGCCAGGATGTGGTTTAATCGCATTAAGTCACCAAACTATCAAAGATAATTTGACATGGCTGAAGGCAATATTCCATTTTGTTGGAGAGATTTTACAGCCGGTTTAGCAGGAGGGTACACTATACCAAGTGTTAGCAACAGATGTCTTAATAAGCACCTTAAAGCTTTAAAATCCATCTCAAAGTTGCAGCTGCATCTAAAAAGTTTGTGTACAGTGCACTACGTTTCCACTTTGAGTTACTGAAACTTTCAGCACTCTTTAATACTGATGAAACCCAAAGAGAACATGAGGAAAAGTCATATGAAGAAAAGTAAATTACACCTGAGAGATTCCTACTTTTACACTATGAACTATAGGTTTACAAAAAGCCAGTAAGAATCACAGTTTAATGGGATCAAATGGGGCAAGAGCACACTTCTGCCTCAAATGTAAACTGTTTCAAACGAAAGAAAGAAAATATTTGCTGCCTTCTGCATGCCCAAAGCACGTACCATCAGTGCTTCAGAACATAAAGCAAAGTGGTGGCATTGTGAGCTGAAAGCACAGGTAAGGATCTGCACAATGTAGGAACAACGCTGCTGATTTTCACAGCAGAGGTTTTTCCTTCCTTGCAAGGTTTTACAAAGGATATGCTCTGACTGAACACTCTTCACTACATATAAACAACCCTGGCTGCTTTGGCTTTCCATGTGTAAGCACACTGAGGACCGGGCTGTAGCGAGTTCTGTGTCTGCAAAAACATTCAGCCTAGAGGAAATCTCCTTCTACTCCTAAGTTAAACATTCACTATTTAGATATTTTCCCAAAAACATGAAGTTATTCCTATTGACAACTTCACAGCATAAATGTATTTAAGATCCAGCCATCCAGCTCTGAAAAGAAAATCACCATGATGTTAATTAATCTAGAAATATTACCACTTTTAATTAAGAAAATGGCTAATTTTGTGGTTCCAAGTTCAACAACATAGAATTCAAAACCAAGACATTTTCTAACTGGACATCAGGAAGGAAGAGCTGCATCATAGGCCCCAAAAAATCACTGGTGCTTCAAGAACACCGTGAGGTTTATGATGGACAGCTACCCTGGAAAACTCCATTTTATACTGGATCTCTCATTATTTTGAATACAAACGAATCTGTGAACAACAACAACAAAAAACTATCAGACAGCAAGACTTCAAATGCAGAGATTTACTTTCTTAAAATACATTCTATAAGAAAATGTAAAAAAATACAACATGAACTTTTTGCATGCATCATTCCATAATCCTCTGAAGCCAGGACAATACATATAGCAGCCCTACGTTGCCAGAGGTGGGATGTGTATATCTGAAGAGAACTGCCTGTCCAAGTGGCATAAGTCATCTCGGAGAATATCAAACCATTTGATTTCAAATTCTGAGGCCGATGCGATTACCAATGATGACAGTGCTGAAGAGCCTATGCATTTTACCTCACCCTGAAATTCCTCTTTTAGTTTTTCTGGTATAAGATCTGCTCCCATCACCTACAACCACAGTAAGAACAAAGACAGAAAACAAGTAATGTGACATTAATAACAGAACACAAGAACCATCCGCCATCTAGGAAGTGCTTCCAAATCACAACCAAGTTGTCTGCCTGCTGCGTTCTGTCATAAATATGGAGAACTGAGAGCCCAAACTTCAGCTGCACAGCTCCTCCCAACTTCTGGTACAACTGTACGTGGGGAGTTTTGCCCTCTGAACAGCGGCACAAGCCCCAGCGCCAGCTCTGCGTTCAGCACCTGCCCCCAAGAGCACCAGCAGCGATCTCGCACTGAGGCGGGGGTGTCAGACCAAGGGAAGCAGGGAAAGCAGCTCCTGTCTGCAGCTCTTAGGAAACTTGGGATAGTCTGCATGCTGCTGCCCTCTCATGGATGAAAGCCCACAGCTTCGCTTGCCAACTCGGCAAGGACTTGGCTTTTATTAACTGAAACCTGAAAATGCTGACAGCAAAGTTAAACATTTTTTGGCTTCCTTTTGTTCTTTTAAATAGAACTCCATAGACGCTAGAAATGTTTAAGCTCTCTGAATAAAGCCATACAATATTATTCTCCTCCTCTGTGGTTCTTTTAAGTTAGAACCCAGTACATCAAATGGAACAAAGAAACAATGCAAGAGGAACTTTTTCTGAAAATGTGCTGAAAGAATGAAGACTTGAATAATCCAGTAGCCCTCAGTGACATCTCCATTTGCATTTCATACACGTGATTCACTCTGCGGCATCTAAAGTGGCAGAGATAAAACTTGCTTCCCAGGAAATGCACAGCAATGATGCATCTGCAAATACGAGTCCAGCGAGAAACCTAACAACCATAAGCATTCCTGTAAGGAGAATTTCAGCAGAGCAGAGATACACCTGCATGACATAAGCCAGCACTATACAGCTATCACAGTCAGTCCCAGATAATGCAGTACCAGGACATCGCCCTGGCTAATGTACCTTGCTTCCTGGCACAGTTAATTAGCTTAGGGGAGAGTCAGGCACCTGCAAGCATGAGCTGGCCCACGTACCCACCAAGACCTGGTGTGGAGCTGCCTACGTGGTGTGAACACATACGCAGAGAACACCCCCTTACCTTGGTCACCTGCAGCAAGGAGTTTTCATTTAAACCAAACTGTGCCACTTTGTCATCAATTTCTTTCTGACATTTTATGTTATTCTCGAGAGCAAAGGATGACTGTTGCAGTTGAGTAAGCTGAAGTAAAAGCCTGGAATGAAAATAAGCAGTTAGAAAGGGTACATCTGGCACAAGAATAAATAAAACCAACTACAAGATAATACTTTAAAACAGCTCTTCTTGACTTTTGCGAGCTGAGAAAACTGAATACATCTGTATTGATCTATTAAGGTCATTCTGTGCGCACACAAGGACTGAAGAAATGCAGAGAACTTCAGAATAAGGAAATGCCAAGTATCTCTGGTGCCTCTACACAACCATTTTTCCCCACACACAGTTGAGGCATTGAGCATTAGCAGTGCTGTATCAAGTATCCCTCATCCTTATTAAGCCATTGCTGCATGCAGCAGTGACCATCTTTGCAACCTGAGAAGAGAGAAATTTGGTTTTGTTTGAACAAACACCAAACATCATCCTCACACAGGTTAGTGTGGGAATATTTCCTAAAACCTTTCACTGCTCTTAACTTGAAGGTAGAGGCCCACAAATCGAGGAGTCATTATTTACAATGCTCTGAAACAGACCCTCATTCACTGAATATAGCAATACTAACATCCCTTTTCCAGGTGCAATTTACCCATGCAGCACCCACATCTCACATAAAGCCAGCAGAGCTGAAAGCACCAGACAAGCTAACATGTAACTCTGCAATGGGAAGTTCACCCTAGAGAAGTGCATATGCCAGTGCAGAATCATAGAATGGCCTGGGTTGAGAAGGATCACAATGATCATCTAGTTTCAATCCCCCTGCTATGTGCAGGATCGCCAACCACTAAACCAGAGCTGCCCAGAGCCACATCCAGCCCGGATACAAAGCACAACACAATAGCACCGTGCAGTCAAGCAAGGAAATCCCAGAACTGCCTTCATTGTTTCAGTACGTCTGGTTCATCACTGAGATGAGAAGCACAGATTATTTTAATATGAATGTAGCTTATTAGATATCAGTACTCAATCTGTTAACTTCTCCCAGGCAGCAAATAAAGTCACTTGCTTTCAAAGTACAGATAAAAACTGTCTTTATGTTTCCCAAATGTTGCCCGCAGAGGGCAGTTATAAGGTGCTCTCTGTAAACATGTTCAGAAGTTCATAAAACTGCACTAATCACATTCAGTGACTGATATATTACTGAGAGGCAAGGGGAAAAAAAACAAGACTTTTTTAACAAGAAACATTTCCTAATTATCTCTTTGAACTATTATATTAGGAGATTTTTGTTGTGTGCAAGAATTTAAGGAAGAGAGAGAATAAAGGCAAAGAGCACTTTAATGCAGCCCTGTCAATCAGCTGTCACAGAGTTCATTTTTCAACCTCATCCATTATGCAAATTGGTGTATTATTAAAATAATACATTTTTGCTCAAGCATGAGGCTTCAGGCAAACAAGCCAGGTGGCAATTGCAGAAGGAAGATGGCCTCATTTCCCTTTGGGGGACTTCAGCTGCTGCATCTTTAATACCAAAGCAGGAACAGCCATGCTCTAGCAGGAGCATTTGGAGGAGAACAAACCCTTTTGTATAGAATTACTTGAAAGGAATTGTATAATGGGATCATTTTAAAAATGCTTTACTTCTCAACAACATGTGACACTGGCTTTGTCTTTCCACCCAAATGTCAGTTGTTCATAGCTACCATGCTGGCGAGTTTCACTTTTTACATTTCAATTATGAGAGGATTCTTTTCTTTCTAGGTTGGTGTTACCAATGCTGGAACAAATCTTTAAATCAGAGGTGTAAACTGAGAATGTTAAGGCTGGGGAATAACATGCTTAAAATTGTTCTGGACTGGAAGAATCTCACATCATTCTAAGAATGTATTTTGTTACCTTGCTCTAACAAATGAGGCACATGCCTTTACGCCAACGTCCTTTGCCATGTCTGTCTCCCAGGACTCACAGGCTGCCTGTTTCCCTTCAGCCTCCCTTCCAGCGTTGTCTGAAGTGCAGAGCATTTCTGTTACAGCCCGGCTGCTGCTGCAGGTCACTGCGCTCTCGCTCTTTGTTTCTGCAGCTGGGCAGGACTGAGGGCCTTCCCTCTGGCAGTCCGATCTGTGAGGCTGGAGATTAATTTCTCCTCCAGCTGATATTCTGAAACTACTGTCAATAACCTGTTTGGACCAATGTAGGTTTGTTTCTGGAATGCATAATGGAGGCAAGCTCTGCAAAAGGTCCATATAAGCTTCAGCAAGCGACTTCCAGTACCAAGGGTTGAAGGGATGTAAGCAGATCAGCTGCTGCAGACACACGATCTTTTTTTCTACGTTTTCCAAATCCCGATAAATGGCAAACTGCAGGTTGAGAACAGTCGTTAAGTGATCCGTGTTTGTGGCACCGTTTCTCTGAAAACAAAAGAAAAAAGGATTATAACAGGAGCAGAAGAACAGAACCGTCCTTCAGAGCTTAAGAAAACGTCTCCCTGGGTAATGACAGACAAACATTTCTAAAGGTAGCTTTCACTACTGTTCTCTTAATTTTAAATGATACAACATGATACAGATCATGCAAGATCAAGCAGACAGTGTTCCCTTCAGTGGCCTCATCTCAGTTGAAAGAAGCCCGTGAACACTGTTGTTTGCTTATATGCATTACTGCTTATGTTATACAGTTGCTCCTCTTTGTAATATGAACGCCTTTTATATACAATGATCAGCAGCAATAAAATTTGCAGATTTCAGAGCCTCCGGACATCTTCTTTTATGGGAAAAACTCCATTTGTGGTTAGCTACTCTTCTTGGTGGCAGTTTGGCAGAAAAGTACATGGAAATAAAAGGAAGTGTTGAACCGTCGCTTTTATAGTGGAAAGATTTAAGCATTCATTTATCCCCTTTCTTATAATTCCTATTACATTACATTAATTCTGCCTGGCAGAGCATGATATTTAGTCCCTTCCAGGACTACCAGCTCCCTGCACAGGGAACTCATTGTGGTACAGGGTGTTCTGATTTCTAAAGAGTGATTATATCTGCAGTGACAGTTACCCTCTGTTTACCAAATACTCTGAGCACTGAACATCCTGAAGGATTAAACACACACAGATTATTTTTGCAGAAAATGGTCTGTATAAAAGAACTACTGACAATATTTTTTATGTTCAAAGGACGTGATTTACCATTCTTTCTGCAATATCCAGAGCTTCCTTGTGCCTTCCTAGTTGAGACAAACAGCGAGCCTGGCCCTCCTGGACGTCCCGCCTCATGGCAATGTTACTGGGAGGCAAGTGCTGTAAGCAGTTTGAGTATTCACACAGAGCTTTCTAGTAGCATCAATAAAAAGAAAAGACAAGCAAAGCAGTGAGATACTTTCATTTAAAAACAACAAGCAATTTCTCTTTATCCCAACTCAGCTAGCACCTATTGCCAGCAGCACACAAAGGCCCCAGTACTGCAGGCCAGGCCAAGAGCTGAGCTCCAAGCTGCCCCAGCCTGGACAGCAATGAGCAGCCCCAATCCTAATTAATGCTTCAGCCCTGTAAGGATTCCCAGGGCATCTGTCCATCTCTCCCCCACACCACGTCTGATGCAGAAGGGACTGTATGAGCTCACCCACAGGCCTGGGCCAAACATGAAATAAAGCACCTTTATCCCAACTAACTCAAGGATCAGAGCACTAATCCTGAATTTGGGAGGCCCCACTTCAAACCTGTGCACTCCTCGGTGACAGAAACAGGAGGTGAGAACAAGGAAGTCTTCCCTCAACCCATGAGAATAAGCAGCCAGCCAGAGCGGACTACAAGGAAAGTGAGTCTCCATCATTCCTGACATAAATTCCTCACAAGGTCATTGGAATTTGCATGAAATGATTAAATATTAATTGGGCCCAGGAAAAAGACAAGAATGAGCAATATGCTGTATCTTAATGCTCAGGGCACTCACCAAGACTCCAATTAACATTTAAATACATTACATTAAGTATTCAGTGATGCTAAGACTGGAATCTTCATTCCTTCTCCACTGTGTGAGAGCTCAGACCAAAAGACCAAAGAGCAGAGCTCTCTCAAAATGAAAATTCAAGTATTCCTTGCAAACTTGATCAGTTCTAGGCAATATATCCTAAGTAGCTCCTGGCATAATGGCCAAAGTATGTGTCTTCCCCTGCGAAGCTCACATTCTTCTCTGAGCAAAGTGAGAGTTCCTCTCTGTCCAGACAGACCAGAGGAGGGCTTCAGGACACCTCTGCTTACTCTGCTATGCACTTTAGGAGTATGACCCTGGCAGACTCAGCATTATAAATTCCAAGTAGATTCTGCAGTCAGCTCTGTCCTAAAAATGAGCATGGCTTAGACCACTGCTCTCCTTGGCACTTCCCATCCAGTAGCTTAGGCTGGCATCAAAACTTTTCACAGTGAGTGAAGAGATTCCCATTTCCTTATTTCCAGGTGCCGATCTAAGGCCAGCATTCTCAAATCTATCACTCTCCTCCCTGGTTCTGGCTCTGCCACAGAGACCCAAGAACACTTGACACTAGACCTGCCAACATGAATCAGCGTGACAGAAGCAATGGACGCTCTGTTCTCTGTGTCAGTTTCTCAGGGAAGGGAATCAGAGCACATGGCAGGGAACAAACCTCCCTTCAGGAGGGTCAACATCCAGAGCAGGGTGCCTGATGGAGCCTCAGGCATTTCTCTCTCTGCACACTTCTGTGAATTCCTTCAGGGCATCCTTCATTTGAGACTGGAAAATGTCTGTCAGGAACAGACAAGGTGACAACAACACAAGAATAATGTTAAAAAGCAGAATAGAAACCAGATCCACTAATCCAATGGGTAGGGCAAGAAGAGTGCAGATGCTGTCCTGGTGGCTTTGAAATCAGGGAGCGTGCAATACAAACCATAGCCTGGAACAAGAAGCTAAAAGAGCAGAAACATGGACAGAAGAAGCTGATTTTCACCAGAAAACAAATCTGGGAGAACAAAAGACAGGGTACTGGAACCAGGAAGGTAGAGGCAGGAGATCATCAGTGATTAGTAACGAAGTTAAGGAAGCAGTGCGAGAAGAGGGTCTAGGAGTGCAGCAGGCAGAAACCAAAATAGGGAACATGGAAGCAACTCAAAAGCATAACTAGTCACCCAGAGACAAGAGAGGGAGAGGTCAGCTAATGACACACAAGCTAGGTCTCAGGAGACTGACAACTGCGGCCAGCTGTAACCTGACAGCCAGGGGGAGCTCTGAGAAAGGCGAATGTGATGTTGACAGCCTTTGTAGAACACCACACTATCCCCATGAGTGGATAAATCTGCACACTGAACTATGGCTGACCAGGATTTCAGTGATTGCCAACAGCAACTGTGAGCACTGCTGAACCACTCTGATGTACAGCTTTGATATCATTTGCCTCCAAGTGAAAAACACCGTTTCTGCTGAGCTGCACAGTTTCTATCAGCTTCACAATGACAATGGGGAAGGAGATGACATCCAGCTGGGAAAGCTTGCCAAAATGAAGTTAACTGTTACAGTTTGGACACATCTTAACTAGCTTGGTGGTTCCTGCCCAGATCACGCTTTCAGTCAGGTGGATGAGGTGGTTTTGATGCAAAATGCCATCAAGTTGGACTTCTATACCACAGGACCTAGCATCTCCAGGGCATGGAGCATCCAAGGAGCGCTATGAAGATGGTGAAGGGTCTGGAGGACAAGGCATGTGAGGTAGGGGCTGAGGTACCTGTGTGTGCTCAGCGCAGAGCAGAGGAGCTGAGGGGAGGCCTGATGGCGGCTGCAGCTCCTCACAGGGAGCGGAGGGCAGCGCTGAGCTCTGCTCTGTGTGACAGCGACAGGGCCCGAGGGAACGGCATGGAGCTGCGTCAGGGGAGGGGCGGGTGGGGGTCAGGGACAGGGTCTGCACCAGAGGGCGGTGGGCATGGAACAGACTGCACAGGGCAGTGGGCACAGCCCCGAGCTGCTGGAGTCCAGGGAGCTCTCAGACGTAGAGTTTGGGGAGTGCTGGGATGGAGCCAGCAGTTGACTCGATGCTCGCTGGGTCCCTCCCAGCTCGGGATATTCAGACACAGATACATTCACTAAACGCACGAGGACAACAGGCCCTGAAGTTACACTCCAGCCACCGCTGCTGACCAAAGCCCTGGCGCACGGGAGCGACGAGAATACCTCAAACTCCCGTTCCCTGTAGGCCAGGTCAGCCCGGAACTTATGGGCCGTCAGCACTTCGGCGTCCTCCTCGCCGCTCGTCTCGCCGCAGAACCACTGCAGGCACAAACAAACCCATACAGAGCGTATGGAACCCCACAGCCGCCGCACGCCGAGTCGCTCCCGGGAGCTCTCTCGGCCCCAGCCCCGCAGCCCCGGCCTCCCGCTCCGCCCCGGCTCCTCACCCGGGGCTCGCAGCGCTTGGCGCTGTAGGGCGGCCCGGCTCCGCCGCCCGCGCCCCGCTCCCTGCTCTGGGAGAACACGGCCTCCTCGAACTCCCAGCCCAGCGGCAGCTCCATCCCCTCCTAGAGCGGCTCTCCGCCGGCCGCGAGCCGGCAGCGCGCCCCCTGCCGGCCCGGGAGCCGCCGTGAGGGAGCAGCTCGAAGGCGGCGGGCGGCGCGGCCGCGGGGTCAGCGAGTTGGGGGTGCGGTGGGCTAGAGTGGCAGCGGCGGCCATCTTGGGAAGGAGGTGCGACGTGCTGAGGCGTGGGGGGTGGGCGGCAGACGCGCTGCTTTGCCCTCGGTAGCGCCGCCCCGCAGGCGCCGCGGTTCCGGGGTATCGGCGCGGAGCTCAGGCTGTGCCTCTTCTGTGCCGGCTCCTCAGCGTTGCGGTGTGTCCCGTGTGTAACGGGGTGTCGCCGACCCGCAGGAGGCACGGGGAGCCCCAGTCGACGTGAGGACGATCAGAGGTGGTCGTGCTGGAATAGGCCTTGTAGGAGTGCCGTCACTCAGCAGTGCTGTTTGGAAACCAAAAGCAGTTGCGTCGGGGGTCTACCATCACAGAGTCACAAAATGGCGTGGGTTGGGACTGCGAAGATCACCCAGTCCCAGCCCCCCACAATGGCAGGGCTGCCCCCCAGCAGATCAAGTGCCCGGGGCCCATCCAACCTGGCCCTGAGAGCCTCCAGGGACGGGGCACCACAGCTCTGCACAGCCGTGCCAGCGCCTCACCGCCCTCTCAGTGAAAATCTTCCCCCTAATCCAAATCTCTCTTCGTTTAAAGCCATTCTTCCTTCGTTCTGTCACTGTGGACCCATATATAAAGCCAACTTCCCTCCTCATTATAAGCTCCCTTTAAATATTGGGAAGCCACAAAAAGGTCTCTCTGGAGCCTTCTCCAGACTTGACAAGCCTAGCTCCCTCAGCCTGCCACTGTAGAACTGCTCCAGTTCACTGATGATCCTGTATTCCAACAGCTCCACATCTTTCCTGTGCTGGGGGCCCCAGGCCTGGATGCAGTACTCCAGTACTCATGAGGCTGAATAAGAGACAATCACTTCCTTCTCCCTGCTTCCACCCCTCTGTTTTTGCAGCCAAGGATGCTTTCAACTGTCCACTGCAGGTGTACACTGCTGGCTCACATCCAGCTTTCCATCCACCAGAACCTCCAAATCTTTCTCAGCAGGGCTGCTCTCAGTGAGTTCAACTCCCAGACTGTGTACGTATCTGGGATTGCCCTGAGCCAAGTGCAACCTTGCACTTAGCCCCATTGAACCTCATTATGTTCACATGTGCCCACTTTTCAAGCCTGTCCAGGTTACACTGGATGGCAACACTTCCTTCTGTTGTATCAACTTTACCACTCAGCTTGGTGTCGTCTGCAAATTTGCTGAGGGTGGACTTGATCCCATCATCTATCTTTGATAAAGATATTAAAGAGTACTGGTACCAAGACAGACCCCTGGGAAGCACCACTTATCACTGGCCTCCACCTGGACATAGAACCATTCATCACAATGCCTGCAACTCTCCAGTCATTCTCCAACCAACTTCCTTTTCATTCTTTCTGACCAAAATGAGAGCAAAAGGATCCCAGGTTTTAGGACAGCTCATGGCACCTGGTTCCTGGCATTTGTGAAGTGTTTTTTGGGAGGAAGGTGATAAGAGAGTGAAGCTTGTACTCCCCTTTGGAACAGGACCATTGCATTATCCATAGTCCTGTTGAAGATTTTGGTCACCAGACAACTGAATGGAAATTTCATAAGATGCTGTAACAAACACTTAAACCTAAGTTTCCCATGCTTAGATAAATTATTTGAACATTTGAGAAGTTATTCTTTTAGCATCTTGGTCCATTGTGCATGCCAGTGTGCATGGGAGTGTATTTCAGTAACTTCTCCATTTGATTTCATTTCTTCCCCAAAGCAAAATGGGAAACTTGTGAAATGTCAAGCTTTCAGAAGACAGGATTTTCCAAATCTTCCAAGACTGCATTGCTGTGCTATGGGAAAAGGGTACACACAAAGCTTCTGCAAGACTTAAAGGCTCAGACACCCTTGCAGATTAACAGCACCTTGCCATTCCAGCTGTCTGTCCTGTCTCATGGCATTGCCAGACACAACGTGCTTTGTGTTTTAAGCATACTGCAGTACTATTTCCTCTCCCTGCCTCAGCAGTCCTTTCCTCCAGGAAGAACCGCTGCCTCCCATCTGACCACCATACAGGTTCAGAGAAGCTGAGATGAAAAGTTATCCTTGTATCTCCTTAACCTGAAAAATGGGCTGATGGACCTGTGCCTACCAGAACATCCTTTATGGCCATACTTCTTGTTTGGATCATTTGAAAGGGTTCCTTCTAGTAGAGATGTTGGGTGGTGGTGGTGGTGCATACATGCTCAAAATATCTTACATATGAGCATAGCTATGCCTGGATGTAGGATCAGAATATTAGGGACATGGTTTAGTGGGCACATTGGTGATGGGCCAACCAGTTGTACTAGATGATCTTAATGGTCTTTTCAACCTTAATGATTCCACGAGTCTATGATCAGCTGGCATAAATCCCTGGATAGAAACTACACTTTGGAAGGTAGATTTGATCAAATTGATCAAACTGAGGTTTCCTCTGCTTTTAAACTGACCATTTGGCAAAGAAGAGCTCTTGAACATAGGAAACTGCTTAACAAGTGAGTCTTGAGAAAAACAGGAGTTTGCTCCACATGATGCTTTTGATTGTTTTGTTATAAGTGTCAGGGTAGGCAAGTACAGCTGGGGCTTCTTGTATGTGCACATAAAAGCCATCCAGCTTCTCTCTGCACGTGGACTGGTGTGCTGAGCTCCTGCAGGACAGGCAGAGCACACAGAAATGGATCTGCAGTCATCAGCTCTGGTGTCTGAACAGTTACAGCATCTGCGCTTCTCCTCGCATTAACCGGACACACGCGCTCCTTTCCCAGTCCTCCAGGACTGCCAGTCATGCTGCAGCACACCAGTCTGAGTACAGCACTAAAATCCAGCAAGACGACTAAGAACAAATTGAAAAGAAGAAAAACAGAAAAAGAATCGTGAGTAATCAAAGTGAAATGTGGCCCCAGCACAAAGTAGAACACAAACTGCAAGGCACTCCCAGGGTCAAATCCAAGAGCAGCCCATTGGCTGCCAGCTTGGATTGAGGAGTCCTCCAGGGTTCAGGGTTTCAGCCATCATTGCCTGTGAGGATACCAACATGGTCTGCAAAGGCTCTGTGTTGCAATGCAGAGAATGCCTTTGTCTGGTGAATCAATGATAGGAGAGAAGCAATTCCTGAGCACCACGCAGGGGGCCTAGCAGCTGACTGCATGGTTTGAGTCATAAGTCACAGCATAACACTGCTTTTCTTCTTTCTTCCTTCCCTGGCTTTCCCCTTCCCCCACCTCCCCTCAGACATTTACAAGGCTCCTCGCGTATTAGTTACAGATATAAAAAAGTGCAACTGTAAGAAATTCCTCTGCCTTGTCAGCACTGGAGATTTGCTCAATTTCTCCTGCAAGCCCCAAGTCATCAGTATAGCTGCCAGAATACAAATTCCCACTTTACTTAAGTAAAGCTGTTTGCCTGAGCTTGTGAGGCATGATTTGCCATGGTGCTGTTAGCCTTCGCTTCATGCAGCAGAAAACAACAGCCCTGGAAGAAGCAGCTTTGAGGGGACTCAGAGATACACGAGCCCTATGGGAGCCCGCACTGCTGCAGCTGCTGTGTGTAGGCAGCTTCATGGGTAGAAAGAAGCCAGAGATGAATCTTCCTAAAGACAGCTGAGGTCATGCTGCACTGCTAGGCTAAAGCACCAGCTCCACATATGAAAATCAGACCAATGGAACCAAGGAGGCAAGCCTGTGTTTCACATTGCCATCAGGCTGAGCCCAGAGGAAGCTTGGACAGTAAAGGCATCTCAAAGGACAGGCAGGAATTCATTCTACTCCCATAGGGCCTGAGCCTTTCAGTCAGGAAAAGAAAACACAGCGTGGCAGACAGAGCTTGTTTGAATCCTGACAACCTTTCTTTAGCCCCGTCAACTCTCAGGCAAAATTAATTCAAAAGAATTCCCCCCGCTGGTGCTTATTTAATTCCTGATGTTATTGTTTGTACTGTGATAGGCTCTATGGGTCTTTGCTACAGCCTGGACACTCTTGTTCCAAGAGGAGAACAGACACCACAGAGGTTTCAAGAGACCAACAAGCACACACAGTGGAAACGAGAAATCCCGGCTGGTAATGAGGGCCCTGTTTTGGTAGGCACTACCCACATACGTCGGCTACGGAATAACGCAGCTCTGACATCGTTTATAGTTTCAATAAAGCATACTGGAAAGGAGCTGCCCTTGGAAAGAAGCAAGAGACTCATTCTCTCCTCAAAGCAAGCGTGCTGCCTGCAGTGAAGAGAGCAGTCAGGCCCACAGGCAGCGTTCCTCAAAGGATGGGCGGTTCCTGAGTCATCAAGTGGGTTCTTCCAGACATTGTGAAATATTCATACCTTGGGGGAAAGATCAGTTTTCTTTTTTGACAGTCATAACATTGGCTCTTCTCTAAACACGTTCATGAAGAGAAGCTCTTTATTTGCTGACATTGTCTTGATGTGTCCTTTTCTCCCTGCACTTATTGTCTCTTGTCTTTTATTGAGATTGCAAGATCTCTACAGCAGAAACTGTCTTTCATCCTTTTTGTGTGGTGCCAAACATAAGGGGATATTGTCCATGACTGGCACAGGAGGGTAACTCAAACAGCACTTCATGGCTAAAGGCATACCAAGGCTATCTCTGGTACAAACTAACAGAGACAAGAAAAAGTGATTCAACAAGCAAAACTGCAGTTAAAGCTCTGGTGAGCTTGGATGAACACTAGCAAATGTTACTACAGTAGTATGAGATACAGCTGCAGACCTCAAGAGCTGTCCGTTCTCAAGCAATAAGTGGTCAGAGTGGTGAAAGTCTGACCTCTAAGCTCCCAGATGCCACCAACAAAATTAAAGAAAAATGATACTTGTCTCAAACTCAGCATATCTTCAAAGAAGCGCTGGTAGAAACAGGATGAACCTCCATCTATCTCAAGCTGCTTGAGAAACCAGACAAAT